CAGACTCTGAGAGGGACTTGGGCATCACAGTAGGAGCCCGGGGCCCAGACTCTGAGAGGGACTTGGGCATCACAGTTGGAGCCCGGGGCCCAGACTCTGAGAGGGACTTGGGCATCACAGTAGAAGCCCGGGGCCCAGACTGAGAGGGACTTGGGCATCACAGTAGGAGCCCGGGGCCTCTGAGAGGGACTTGGGCATCACAGTAGGAGCCCGGGGCCTCTGAGAGGGACTTGGGCATCACAGTAGGAGCCCGGGGCCCAGACGCATGCACACCAATGCATTATATAAAGGTAAAAGGACGCTGGGATTAATAGTAAGAACCATATTAGCAACAGAAGCCAGAGTATCATCCTTGTGCTGTATCTAGCGTATGTGTGTGCGTGGGAGGGCACGGGGGGGGGGGAAGTGTGCGTGGGAGGGCACGCGGGGGGGAAGTGTGCGTGGGAGGGCACGGGGGGGGGGAAGTGTGCGTGGGAGGGCACCGTGGGGGGGGGGGGGAGTGTGCGTGGGAGGGCACGGGGGAGGGAGTGTACGTGGGAGGGCACGGGGGGGGGGAAGTGTGCGTGGGAGGGCACGGGGGGGAGTGTGCGTGGGAGGGCACGGAGGGGGGGGGGAGTGTGCGTGGGAGGGCACGTGGGGGGAGTGTGCGTGGGAGGGCACGGGGGGGGAAGTGTGCGTGGGAGGGCACGGGGGGGGAAGTGTGCGTGGGAGGGCACGGGGGGGGGAGTGTGCATGGGAGGGCACGGGGGGGGGGAGTGTGCATGGGAGGGCACGGGGGGGGGGGGGAGTGTGCGTGGGAGGGCACGGGGGGGGGGAGTGTGCGTGGGAGGGCACGGGGGGGGGAGTGTGCGTGGGAGGGCACGGGGGGGGGGGGAAGTGTGCGTGGGAGGGCACGGGGGGGGGAAGTGTGCGTGAGAGGGCACGGGGGGGGGGGAAGTGTGCGTGGGAGGGCACGGGGGGGGAAGTGTGCGTGGGAGGGCACGGGGGGGAAGTGTGCGTGGGAGGGCATGGGGGGGGAAGTGTGCGTGGGAGGGCATGGGGGGGGGAAGTGTGCGTGGGAGGGCATGGGGGGGGAAGTGTGCGTGGGAGGGCATGGGGGGGGGAAGTGTGCGTGGGAGGGCATGGGGGGGGAAGTGTGCGTGGGGGGAGTGCGCGTGGGAGGGCATGGGGGGGGGAGTGTGCGTGGGAGGGCATGGGGGGAGTGTGCGTGGGAGGGCATGGGTTTAGAAACCGCAGAGGGGCCCATACAGCTCTAGCCCTGATCTACGAGCATATAGCCAACGCAGTGTCGAAAAAATATGTGTAATATAGTGCTTAGAGACGTTTCGAAAGTCTTCGACAAAGTTTGGCACACAGGCCTAAAATATAAGATATCTGAACTAGGACTTCCCTGAGAGATTTACTGCTACTCTCTGCAGCTTTATAGACACCAGAACTGCTAGACTTAATATCGGCAGCTACTTGGGTGACGTAATAGAACTGAAAAGTGGAGTACCACAAGGAAGCTGCCTCTCCCCCACTCTATTCAACATATATACAGCTGACGTGCCCCAACCCCAACATGGAGAATACATCACATACGCTGACGATGTCACCCAAATAATATGCCAACCTGGACCATCAAAGCCGCTAGTAGCTAACAAGACCAAGGCAGCAATTGAACTCAAACAACTTTGAGAAGCAATGAAAAATTAGCACCAACAAACAAAAGTTTTAGATAAAACACATTGCGCAAAGAAACCCGGACCCCATCATCCTTGACAACCATCCGATCCAATATGCGGAGGTCGGCAGAATACTGGGACTTATGATAAATAGAACAGGGATACAAATTCATGTAAGGGACCGACAAAACAAAGCCAAAGCAGCCTTAGGAAAACTGAGGAGATTCCGAAGCCTCGGTACTAACATTCAGATCCACCTATACAAGGCTCCAGTCCGGCCGCATCTAGAGTATCCCCCAGTACCACTACACACCATAAAGAAAACTAACATGCAGAAACTGCAAGCAGTACAAAATAAAGCAGTAAGGAGAGCAGCAAAACACCGTCCACCATATTATGATAAGACAATCCAGGAGCTCCACGAACTCCTGAACACACAGCCACTAAACATCAGACTGCAGCACCAAGCCATCAGGGTGTGTGAACACCAACGAAATGTTAGAGGACCCAATGTTAGAAAGATTACTTCAAGATGAGACGCCCCGCTCCCACAGCTGGTGGCCCAAGATGAGACGCCCCGCTCCCACAGCTGGTGGCCCAAGATGAGACGCCCCACTCCCACAGCTGGTGGCCCAAGATGAGACGCCCCGCTCCCACAGCTGGTGGCCCAAGATGAGACGCCCCACTCCCACAGCTGGTGGCCCAAGATGAGACGCCCTACTCCCACAGCTGGTGGCCCAAGATGAGACGCCCCCCTCCCACAGCTGGTGGCCCAAGATGAGACGCCCCGCTCCCACAGCTGGTGGCCCAAGATGAGACGCCCCGCTCCCACAGCTGGTGGCCCAAGATGAGACGCCCCACTCCCACAGCTGGTGGTCCAAGATGAGACGCCCCGCTCCCACAGCTGGTGGTCCAAGATGAGACGCCCCGCTCCCACAGCTGGTGGCCCAAGATGAGACGCCCCACTCCCACAGCTGGTGGCCCAAGATGAGACGCCCCGCTCCCACAGCTGGTGGCCCAAGATGAGACGCCCCGCTCCCACAGCTGGTGGCCCAAGATGAGACGCCCCGCTCCCACAGCTGGTGGCCCAAGATGAGACGCCCCGCTCCCACAGCTGGTGGCCCAAGATGAGACGCCCCACTCCCACAGCTGGTGGCCCAAGATGAGACGCCCCACTCCCACAGCTGGTGGCCCAAGATGAGACGCCCCGCTCCCACAGCTGGTGGCCCAAGATGAGACGCCCCGCTCCCACAGCTGGTGGCCCAAGATGAGACGCCCCGCTCCCACAGCTGGTGGCCCAAGATGAGACGCCCCGCTCCCACAGGTGGTGGCCCAGGTATATACGCATATATATTATATATATAATGTGTGTGTGTATGAATAACTCGATAAATAATAATAACAAAATAAAGAGTCTTAAACAGAACAACAGAACAACACGTGTGGAAGCATCGGAGTGTGTATATGAATGGTACACAGTATTCATCTATAGACATCCATATATGGTGAAACAGGGAGCCAGCTTAGCTTAGCTGCCAACACCCACACATGGTGTCAGCAAGGCGGACAGCCCGCCGCCTGCTTTCATACCTCTCACTCTATTTCCCACTTCTATACTTCCCTTCACCTACGCCTCTCCCGCTTTACTAAAAAAAAAAAAAAAAATGGGGGAGGGTGCATGGGGAGGGTGCGTGGGAGGGCATGGGGAGGGTGCGTGGGAGGGCATGGGGAGGGTGCGTGGGAGGGCATGGGGAGGGTGCGTGGGAGGGCATGGGGAGGGTGCGTGGGAGGGCATGGGGAGGGTGCGTGGGAGGACATGGGGAGGGTGCGTGGGAGGGCATGGGAAGAATGCGTGGGAGGGCATGGGGAGGGTGCGTGGGAGGGCATGGGGAGGGTGCGTGGGAGGGCATGGGGAGGGTGCGTGGGAGGGCATGGGAAGGGTGCGTGGGAGGGCATGGGGAGGGTGCGTGGGAGGACATGGGGAGGGTGCGTGGGAGGGCATGGGAAGGGTGCGTGGGAGGGCATGGGGAGGGTGCGTGGGAGGGCATGGGGAGGGTGCGTGGGAGGGCATGGGGAGGGTGCGTGGGAGGGCATGGGGAGGGTGCGTGGGAGGGCATGGGGAGGGTGCGTGGGAGGGCATGGGGAGGGTGCGTGGGAGGGCATGGGGAGGGTGCGTGGGAGGGCATGGGGAGGGTGCGTGGGAGGGCATGGGGAGGGTGCGTGGGAGGGCATGGGGAGGGTGCGTGGGAGGGCATGGGGAGGGTGCGTGGGAGGGCATGGGGAGGGTGCGTGGGAGGGCATGGGGAGGGTGCGTGGGAGGGCATGGGAGGGTGCGTGGGAGGGCATGGGGAGGGTGCGTGGGAGGGCATGGGGAGGGTGCGTGGGAGGGCATGGGAAGGGTGCGTGGGAGGGCATGGGGAGGGTGCGTGGGAGGAGGGAAGGGTGGGGAGGGCGTGGGAGGGCATGGGAAGGGTGCGTGGGAGGGCATGGGGAGGGTGCGTGGGAGGGCATGGGGAGGGTGCGTGGGAGGGCATGGGGAGGGTGCGTGGGAGGGCATGGGGAGGGTGCGTGGGAGGGCATGGGGAGGGTGCGTGGGAGGGCATGGGGAGGGTGCGTGGGAGGGCATGGGGAGGGGCGTGAGAGGGCATGGGGAGGGTGCGTGCGGAGGGCATGGGGAGGGTGCGTGGGAGGGCATGGGGAGGGTGCGTGGGAGGGCATGGGGAGGGTGCGTGGGAGGGCATGGGGAGGGTGCGTGGGAGGGCATGGGGAGGGTGCGTGGGAGGGCATGGGGAGGGGGGAGGGTGCGTGGGAGGGCATGGGGAGGGTGCGTGGGAGGGCATGGGGAGGGTGCGTGGGAGGGCATGGGGGGGGTGCGTGGGAGGGCATGGGGGGGGTGCGTGGGAGGGCATGGGGGGGGTGCGTGGGAGGGCATGGGGGAGGGTGCGTGGGGGGGGGGGGTGCGTGGGAGGGCATGGGAAGGGTGCGTGGGAGGGCATGGGGAGGGTGCGTGGGAGGGCATGGGGAGGGTGCGTGGGAGGGCATGGGGAAGGTGGGTCATGGGGTTGGGGGAAGGAATGCAGATAATGTGATACTTGCAGTGATAAAGAGACAATGTGTACCGAAAGTTATTTCAGCGAGCGAGAGGAGACGGGGAGGAGTGTACAGGGGAAGATAATGGATATGGGGAGGGATGTATGGGGTGGGGGAATACCTGGGTATCGAATCGAACCTAGGTTCCCCCATATAATGAGGGGGGGGGGGAGAACACTGTATCTCCACAAGTTACAGGATATATATCCCCTGCCTACACCTGCCAACGACATGAAAGGTACTCACCCTCTTGCGGCCACCGCGTTCCTCCCTGTGTGTCTGGGAACTTGTTGACGGCGCCGGTAGCCGGGGCGGCCGGTGCCCCCCTCCTCGTCCCCAGGGGCGCTCACCACCACACACACCATCAAACACACACTTAACACTATCACACACCACCACTGCCGTAACCAGCACCGCTCTCTCATAGTGACGGCTGGAGAGTGAGTTCACTTTCCGTCTAGGGCGTTTCGAATCGTGTTTCGAATCGTGTTTCGAATCGTGTTTCGAATCGTGTTTCACTGTTTTATTTGTTCTCGGTCTCGGTCAGGTGAAGCAGTTCTAGAACTGTGTAATCCACTGTACAATAGAATGTACCACTGTTCAGGTTTGATGGGAATGCGCGACTGCTTATTTCACTCAGAGTAGATAGTTGTTAGATATCTTAGTATCTCGTTAGTGTAATATCTAGTCGTTTCACTGACAGCATTGGCTCAAGCTTATACTCTGCTCCCTTAAGCATTCACATTTTCAACCTCCACCTTCACAGTAAACAATCCTGCCTTCTACAAAATAAAATTTATATACTTAAATCATTAAATTTCTTGTCGAGTCTGACAAAAGCTTTCGTCTATAAAACACATTAATCGGTAAAAACAAAAACATTAAGCCAAAGAATGGTCCAGGACGGACCGAAACGTCGTCGTCCCTTCAACTTCTAGTGTGTGGTCTGGTCAACATAAAGCCAAACTTGTCCCTTGCAGAAAAAGTAAAAAAAGTTTGCAGAATACTTAATGCACCACATTTACGTAAGCAAGTTTTAAATTTCTTGATCGAAGTTACAGCCGGTCGGCCGAGCGAGGGAGCCGGTCGGCCGAGCGGACAGCACGCTGGACCTTTGATCCTGTGGTCCCGGGTTCGATCCCAGGCGCCGGCGAGAAACAATGGGCAAAGTTTCTTTCACCCTATGCCCCTGTTACCTAGCAGTAAAATAGGTACCTGGGTGTTAGTCAGATGTCACGGGCTGCTTCCTGGGGGTGGAGGCCTGGTCGAGGACCGGGCCGCGGGGACACTAAAGCCCCGAAATCATCTCAAGATATATCTCAAGAAGATTCCCTGCCACCCCCTAACAACTTTATTTATGAGGCCATCCATTCAACAACAACAACAGAGATAAATATTTTATAACCTTGACGCTAATGTATGTATGAAGTCACTTATCAGTTCATCCAATAATTCAAACCTTAATTTGTAATCCATCAATGTCGGCACTTTACACTACATGTAGACCAAACGTCGACATCAATCACTCAGCTCGATGAATATGCCCCCATGCTGGAGGTTGGATTGATGATGTTGTAGGCGCCTAGTTACTGAGTACCCCATACTCATCCTGTGAGCGGTGGTTTACTGTGCACCCCATACTCATCCTGTGAGCGGTGGTTTACTGTGCACCCCATACTCATCCTGTGAGCGGTGGTTTACTGTGCACCCCATACTCATCCTGTGAGCGGTGGTTTACTGTGCACCCCATACTCATCCTGTGAGCGGTGGTTTACTGTGCATCCCATACTCATCCTGTGAGCGGTGGTTTACTGTGCACCCCATACTCATCCTGTGAGCGGTGGTTTACTGTACACCCCATACTCATCCTGTGAGCGGTGGTTTACTGTGCATCCCATACTCATCCTGTGAGCGGTGGTTTACTGTGCATCCCATACTCATCCTGTGAGCGGTGGTTTACTGTGCATCCCATACTCATCCTGTGAGCGGTGGTTTACTGTGCATCCCATACTCATCCTGTGAGCGGTGGTTTACTGTGCATCCCATACTCATCCTGTGAGCGGTGGTTTACTGTGCACCCCATACTCATCCTGTGAGCGATGGTTTACTGAACACCCCATACTCATCCTGTGAGCGGTGGTTTACTGTACACCCCATACTCATCCTGTGAGCGGTGGTTTACTGTGCACCCCATACTCATCCTGTGAGCGGTGGTTTACTGTGCATCCCATACTCATCCTGTGAGCGGTGGTTTACTGAACACCCCATACTCATCCTGTGAGCGGTGGTTTACTGTGCACCCCATACTCATCCTGTGAGCGATGGTTTACTGTGCACCCCATACTCATCCTGTGAGCGGTGGTTTACTGAGCACCCCATACTCATCCTGTGAGCGGTATTTGTTTGATGGGGTTCCGGGAGTTCTTCTACTCCCCAAGCCCGGCCCGAGGCCAGGCTTGACTTGTGAGAGTTTGGTCCACCAGGCTGTTGCTTGGAGCGGCCCGCAGGCCCACATATACCTGGTTGATGGGGTTCTGGGAGTTCTTCTACTCCCCAAGCCCGGCCCGAGGCCAGGCTTGACTTGTGAGAGTTTGGTCCAGCAGGCTGTTGCTTGGAGCGGCCCGCAGGCCCACATATACCTGGTTGATGGGGTTCTGGGAGTTCTTCTACTCCCCAAGCCCGGCCCGAGGCCAGGCTTGACTTGTGAGAGTTTGGTCCACCAGGCTGTTGCTTGGAGCGGCCAGCAGGCCCACATATACCTGCTTGATGGGGTTCTGGGAGTTCTTCTACTCCCCAAGCCCGGCCCGAGGCCAGGCTGACTTGTGAGAGTTTGGTCCAGCAGGCTGTTGCTTGGAGCGGCCCGCAGGCCCACATATACCTGGTTGATGGGGTTCTGGGAGTTCTTCTACTCCCCAAGCCCGGCCCGAGGCCAGGCTTGACTTGTGAGAGTTTGGTCCACCAGGCTGTTGCTTGGAGCGGCCCGCAGGCCCACATATACCTGCTTGATGGGGTTCTGGGAGTTCTTCTACTCCCCAAGCCCGGCCGGAGGCCAGGCTTGACTTGTGAGAGTTTGGTCCACCAGGCTGTTGCTTGGAGCGGCCCGCAGGCCCACATATACCTGGTTGATGGGGTTCTGGGAGTTCTTCTACTCCCCAAGCCCGGCCCGAGGCCAGGCTTGACTTGTGAGAGTTTGGTCCACCAGGCTGTTGCTTGGAGCGGCCAGCAGGCCCACATATACCTGGTTGATGGGGTTCTGGGAGTTCTTCTACTCCCCAAGCCCGGCCCGAGGCCAGGCTTGACTTGTGAGAGTTTGGTCCACCAGGCTGTTGCTTGGAGCGGCCCGCAGGCCCACATATACCTGGTCGATGGGGTTCTGGGAGTTCTTCTACTCCCCAAGCCCGGCCCGAGGCCAGGCTTGACTTGTGAGAGTTTGGTCCACCAGGCTGTTGCTTGGAGCGGCCCGCAGGCCCACATACCCACCACAGCCCGGTTGGTCCGCCCAATTTTTTGGGCGGTAACGCAATAGGTCGTAAAAGGGCACAAAGGGTCTTTATCAGACCTCAGTGGATATGATTACGTTAATAACTACATGTAACACTGCACATGTATAATTATAACGGCAGTTAGTTAAACAAAATCATTACAATATCCATCCCTGGAAACACAAACCGAAACTGTCTCTATTTTCCGCTTGTTACAACTTGAAATAAAGTTGTTACATCTTGGCTTAACGTGTTTATGCAAAGTAGAATCAGTGATTCTACTTTGCTCTGATGAAGGCGAATTAGCCGAAAACGCGTTAAGCATTTTCTATTTTTCATATGTGGTTATTCTGCATACTTGGATCAGTGTTTTTGTGATCATTGTTGCATATATATATATATATATATATATATATATATATATATATATATATATATATATATATATATATATATATATATATATATATATATATAACTGAAAACTCACACCCAGAAGTGACTCGAACCCATACTCCCAGAAGCAACGCAACTGGTATGTACAAGACGCCTTAATCCAAGTTTGGATTAAGGCGTCTTGTACATACCAGTTGCGTTGCTTCTGGGAGTATGGGTTCGAGTCACTTCTGGGGTGTGAGTTTTCAGTTGCATATGTCCTGGGGACCATTCAGGCTTGTTCGCATTTGTGTTCCTCACGTGTGCCCCAAAGAATGAGGTGATTTGGTAAAATGCTATGCCCAAGATAACTATCCGAGTGCCGGCGGTGGGGTGGTTCATATAGCCTCGGCTATCACCTCATTATGTCCGGTCGTGATGGTCAAGTGGATTAAGGCGTCTTGTACATACCAGTTGCGTTGCTTCTGGGAGTATGGGTTCGAGTCACTTCTGGGGTGTGAGTTTTCAGTTGCATATGTCCTGGGGACCATTCAGGCTTGTTCGCATATATATATATATATATATATATATATATATATATATATATTTATATATATCTTTATATATATCTTTATTTATAAGGTAATAATCTCATGTGTCGTTTATCTTCTGGAAGCCAAACATGGGATACAGTGTAAGGATTTCAGATGTTTTATCCTAAGTAATAAGATGGTTTGCCATTTCATGCAGTTTGAGTTTAGATTTATCTCTAAATGGCTCAATTTTATTACAGTCTAAGATATAATGCTGGAGTTTTTTTTTTCTACCACAGACGTGGCCACACATTTACAATGCTAACCAGCATATATACATTTTCTTCTGTCCTCCATGGACAGGGTTAGAGATGTGTTAAACATATAGTTCAAGGGTTTATTGAACAATCAACCACAGAAAGTGATTCGGTGCTTTTAAAATGCTAAGATAACCTACATACGTAAATACATAGATACACAGATTTACGTATGCCCTACATATGTAACACTGTAAAAGTGTTTGGTTTAGTTTAATACATACATAGAGTACATGAGTCACAGACAAGGATCTGAGAGGCGCCAGTTTGTCGGCCTGAGATCTCACACCTCAAAGCGTTAATGACCTCAAGTGAACTGAGGTCAGATCATGCGAATTTCACCTTGCTTCTACTAATCTCTTAATTGTAGTCTGGTAGCCTTCAAACATACCGACGTTTAAGGAGTGGCTTGGTAGTGCCGGAGGCTATCTACTTGTGGGCGGAGTTAGTACTAGGGTCCCCAATATATACTGAGGGAGCATAGAGCATTGGAGCATTAAGAAGAGACCAGCAGCAGAGCAGACGGCCCTAGCAGGGAGGCTGTCGGCCGGCAGGGCGGGAGTCTCCGTCAACTACAGACCCCCCCCCTCTCTATCCAGCTATAGGCAGAGGCACTTGGTGAGTTGAGCATTAAGGTGACTTGGTCGTGTTACATATGTTGTGTGATGATCAGGGGCAGTCAAGTTGTAGGGTTCTCGAGTTCTTGGATGATGACTCACTTTGCATATTAAACTGGAACATTTAATTGAATTGCTAAATTATGATACTTCATGTGAAATATAATTATGAATTTATTATTTAAATTGTGTTTAACTTTGTTCCCTAGAGATTTGAGTTGAGGTGAGAAAGCCTCTGTGGTTACTGGTTCATGATATTAACGAGTACATGTTTGGAGTTGATACATGGTACAGAGGGAACATACTAATAATGAACTCATGGTAATAACATCTTTGAGAATATTTGATACAGACAAGTTCCATTCCTTGTCTTGTATGTAATGGTCTAGAATGGATGGTGGCAGCATTTCGTCTTCTACTATCTACTCTTCTACTTCTACTATCTACTCTTCTACTTCTACTAGCTACTCTTCTACTTCTACCTATCTACTCCTCTCCCTCCACCCCTCTCTGAAC